ATTGTGTTTGCGTGTTTGTGTTGTTTATGTGTAGAGATCTCCGGATGAAGTTTCGTGGGTATCCATTTCTCTCAACTATGTGTAAGTGATTTTGTTCTGCTGATCTGGTTTCTGTGGTGTTGCAATGGGATTCTACTCTCTTGCACAGTGTTCTGACTCAGCTTTGTTTGTGGCATTTGGGGTGGTTTCTGTGGAACCTGAGGATTTGATCTGTATGTGTTCCTGTACACGGATATTAGAAGTTGGCCATTGGTGGTTCTGGTTACAAGGATGTCCAGGAATGGCAGTTCATTGTTATTCTCGGATTCTGTTGTAAATCGGATGTCTACGAAGACGTTGTTGATTCTTTGGTAGGTTTGGTCGACCTGGTTGTGCTTGATTATCATGAAGGTGTCATCCACATAACATATCCACACCAGACAGACACGCACAAATCAAAGCGCACTGAAGATGTTCCCCTGAATGAAGAAGAAACATTTGCAGCCAAATCGTCAGGCTCAGAGATCAAACCAACAGCTTAACTACCAACCCGAGCTACTAATATTCAAACACTTCTCAATAGTGAATGATTCATTTGAGTGGAGACTGAAGTAATATCAAACAGAATCGAAAAACTTCTAGTTTCTAGTATAAATATGCTGCTATGTTGGAAGATTTTTTAAAAACTTTTTTTAAAAAAATACCATTACCAACTTAACAATGGTTAGAATTTAATATAAACATAATTTAAATCGGTAAAGAGAACTAATGGTAGACTTGAACTTATGTCAACTAATTCTAAAGGTGTTGGTGCTTATGTATCACCTGATATGATGGTTGCTGAGTACTCATTACGAGAGAAATTACCTGCAAATCAGTATACATGGTCATCTCGAGGACCAAGGTAAGTAATAAACTAATTCATAAGTTAAATCCTGGTGTTTCTATAATCCATTTAGAAATTACATTTTAATATATCAAAAGATAACTTGAAAGTGCAGCTTAGGGTTCCAACATAAAGACTCTGACTTCTGAAAAATGGAGCTGATTTTCAAGAATTTGAGATACATTTTATAATTATTTCAAGGTGAATATGAGTAGGAAGAGAAAGGTTTTAAGGTTTGTGTTTTTTTTAAAAAAATGTAAATCTGCCTTAATTTCTCTCACCTTGCAGCTCCCTCAATGTTTCAAAGTGGGATACTTATATTCTGTGATATAACAGCTGTATATATTAAAAAAAAGAAGTGGGTATAAATGTATGTTACTGAAAATAGTTAAAAATCCTAGTATAGAAAAAGATTGCAAAAACACTTAACGTGAAACATGTCTGCACACTAAATTAGGAATGGTTTTCAGGTATCAGGATGCTGATGATACTCAACTTTATATCTCCACTCCTCATGATCCAAATGATGCTGTTGCTGTTCTCTCATGGGAGGGGGGGGTCTATGATAATTCGCTGCAACAAACTCACTGTAGCCAACTTGTTGCTAGGCAACTCGTCACGGCCAAATCACCACAGGAAAACTCATGCGGGACAAGAGTTACACTAATATCAAAGAAGTGGAATAGAATCATTAAAGAAAGGACGCAAAAGGAGGGACAGAAGGAAATGTGAACGGCAAAAATTAAAATATTTTTTTATTTATTTTAAATTATTAAATAGAATTGTTAAATTGTCCCACAGCGAGTTGTCCATGGTGAGTTGGCCCTAGCAAGTTGGCCCTAGCAAGTTGGCCCATTCTCCTCTCGCGGTGCCTGTAGGCCAGTGTTTCTCAACCTTGACAATTTTAAGGCATGTGGACTTCAACTCCCAGAATTCCACAGCCAGCATTGCTGGCTGTGGAATTCTGGGAGTTGAAGTCCACATGCCTTAAAATTGTCAAGGTTGAGAAACACTGCTGTAGGCTGTCAGGGCCTGCATGGGGAGCTACAAGCATGGAACTTCAAGATCTGGCACATTAAGCAGCTTAGTTGCACTATCCCAGACGGACCAGTCTGCAGCTTGGGGGTTCTCCTGGACTTACAACTTCTACTTGAAGAGTAGGTGGCAGCCACAGCTAGGAGAGGTGGTGCACCACTTGTGGCTTTTCCTGGATTGGGAATCGTGCTCAGTCATTCAAACCCTGGTAATCTCATATCTAAACTATTGCAATGCACTCTGCATGAGGCTACCCTTGAAAAGCATTTGGAAGCTTCAACTGGTGCAGAATGCAGCAGCAAGGGCAGTTCTTGGGGTCCCTAAGGTGACTCATGATACACCTCTGCGAGCTTCACTGGCTACCGGTCTGCTTCAGCCCTGCATGGCATGGGTCTAAGTTACCTGAGGAGCCATCTCACCCCACTGGGACTGGCCCACCCCACTCTTGCTGGCAGAGGATGCACACTGCAGGGCCCATTAGTCAAGGAATTCCAGCTGGCAGGGTCCAGGGGAAGGGCCTTCTCTGCTGTGGCCCCGGCCCTTTGGAACATCTTATTCTCTGAAGTGAAGTTGGCTCCCACCCTTTTCAGCTTCTGCAGGAGCCTGAAAACTTGGCTCTGCCAGGTGGCTTGGGGTCCCAAAGGGGGAGCATCATACTGCAGGTGATTGACGAATTAAGAGGCAATCCCACCTGCCCCTGTTCCCTCCCTCCCCATCTTTTAACTATAATTTTATTTTGATTGTGATTTCCTCTTTTATTGTTTTATAAATATTGGACTTTTAGGATTATAATGTTTTAATGCTGTAAGCCACCCAGAGTTGTTGCAATACGAGATGGGGGCAAATTTAGTAAATAAAAACAAATTTCAAATTGATGGAGAAACCTTTCACAAGCTTAAAAGAAGCAGGTTAATAAACTGAGAAAAGAGAAGTAAACATTCATCTGATGGAGTCATGAGTGAATTAAATATTAAATAATAATAGCATGTTGATCCCTGATCTCCCTTCCTTCCGCCGCGCCCTCAAGACATGGCTGTTCCAACAAGCGGGACTGGCCTAGGATAATTTTTAAGAGGGGTTTTTAGAGGGGTTTTTAATCATATTTTAATCAGACAAATTTAAATATTTCATTTTAATTAATTTTAACTTTGTGATTGTTATTGGTGTTTTTAATTGATTGTCAGCCGCNATTGTGTTTGCGTGTTTGTGTTGTTTATGTGTAGAGATCTCCGGATGAAGTTTCGTGGGTATCCATTTCTCTCAACTATGTGTAAGTGATTTTGTTCTGCTGATCTGGTTTCTGTGGTGTTGCAATGGGATTCTACTCTCTTGCACAGTGTTCTGACTCAGCTTTGTTTGTGGCATTTGGGGTGGTTTCTGTGGAACCTAAGGATTTGATCTGTATGTGTTCCTGTACACGGATATTAGAAGTTGGCCATTGGTGGTTCTGGTTACAAGGATGTCCAGGAATGGCAGTTCATTGTTATTCTCGGATTCTGTTGTAAATCGGATGTCTACGAAGACGTTGTTGATTCTTTGGTAGGTTTGGTCGACCTGGTTGTGCTTGATTATCACGAAGGTGTCATCCACATAACATATCCACACCAGACAGACACGCACAAATCAAAGCGCACTGAAGATGTCCCCCTGAATGAAGAAGAAACATTTGCAGCCAAATCGTCAGGCTCAGAGATCAAACCAACAGCTTAACTACCAACCCGAGCTACTAATATTCAAACACTTCTCAATAGTGAATGATTCATTTGAGTGGAGACTGAAGTAATATCAAACAGAATCGAAAAACTTCTAGTTTCTAGTATAAATATGCTGCTATGTTGGAAGATTTTTTAAAAACTTTTTTTAAAAAAATACCATTACCAACTTAACAATGATTAGAATTTAATATAAACATAATTTAAATCAGTAAAGAGAACTAATGGTAGACTTGAACTTATGTCAACTAATTCTAAAGGTGTTGGTGCTTATGTATCACCTGATATGATGGTTGCTGAGTACTCATTACGAGAGAAATTACCTGCAAATCAGTATACATGGTCATCTCGAGGACCAAGGTGAGTAATAAACTAATTCATAAGTTAAACCCTGGTGTTTCTATAATCCATTTAGAAATTACATTTTAATATATCAAAAGATAACTTGAAAGTGCAGCTTAGGGTTCCAACATAAAGACTCTAACTTCTGAAAAATGGAGCTGATTTTCAAGAATTTAAGATACATTTTATAATTATTTCAAGGTAAATATGAATAGGAAGAGAAAGGTTTTAAGGTTTGTTTTTTTAAAAAAATGTAAATCCGCCTTAATTTCTCTCACCTTGCAGCTCCCTCAATGTTTCAAAGTGGGATACTTATATTCTGTGAAATAACAGCTGTATATATTAAAAAAAAGAAGTGGGTATAAATGTATGTTACTGAAAATAGTTAAAAATCCTAGTATAGAAAAAGATTGCAAAAACACTTAACGTGAAGCATGTCCGCACCCTAAATTAGGAATGGTTTTCAGGTATCAGGATGCTGAGGATACTCAACTTTATATCTCCACTCCTCATGATCCAAATAATGCTGTTGCTGTTCTCTCATGGGAGGGGAGGGGGGTCTATGATAATTCGCTGCAACACTGTAGCCAACTTGTTGCTAGGCAACTCGTCACAGCCAAATCACCACAGGACAACTCATGCGGGACAAGAGTTACACTAATATCAAAGAAGTGGAATAGAATCATTAAAGAAAGGACGCAAAAGGAGGGACAGAACGAAATGTGAACGGCAAAAATTAAAATATTTTTTTATTTATTTTAAATTATTAAATAGAATTGTTAAATTGTCCCACAGCGAGTTGTCCATGGTGAGTTGGCCCTAGCAAGTTGGCTGTGGCAAGTTGGCCCATTCTCCTCTCGCGGTGCCTGTAGGCCAGTGTTTCTCAACCTTGACAATTTTAAGGCATGTGGACTTCAACTCCCAGAATTCCACAGCCAGCAATGCTGGCTGTGGAATTCTGGGAGTTGAAGTCCACATGCCTTAAAATTGTCAAGGTTGAGAAACACTGCTGTAGGCTGTCAGGGCCTGCATGGGGAGCTACAAGCTTCGAATGAGCCCTGGCAAGACCGAATGGCTTTGGATGCATGGAACTTCAAGATCTGGCACATTAAGCAGCTTAGTTGCACTATCCCAGACAGACCCAGTCTGCAGCTTGGGGGTTCTCCTGGACTTGCAACTTTTACTTGAAGAGTAGGTGACAGTCACAGCTAGGAGAGGTGGTGCACCACTTGTGGCTTTTCCTGGATTGGGAATCGTGCTCAGTCATTCAAACCCTGGTAATCTCATATCTAAACTATTGCAATGAGGCTACCCTTGAAAAGAATTTGGAAGCTTCAACTGGTGCAGAATACAACAGCAAGGGCAGTTCTTGGGGTCCCTAGGGTGACTCATGATACACCTCTTCTCTGCGAGCTTCACTGGCTATCGGTCTGCTTCAGCCCTGCATGGCATGGGTCTAAGTTACCTGAGGAGCCATCTCACCCCACTGGGACTGGCCCACCCCACTCTTGCTGGCAGAGGACGCATGCTGCGGGGCCCATTAATCAAGGAATTCCAGCTGGCAGGGTCCAGGGGAAGGGCGTTCTCTGCTGTGGCTCCGGCCCTTTGGAACATCTTATTCCCTGAGATAAAGTTGGCTCCCACCCTTTTCAGCTTCTGCAGGAGCCTGAAAACGTGGCTCTGCCAGGTGGCTTGGGGTCCCAAAGGGGGAGCATCATACTGCAGGTGATTGACGAATTAAGAGGCAATCCCACCTCCCCCTGTTCCCTCCCTCCCCATCTTTTAACTATAATTTTATTTTGATTGTGATTTCCTCTTTTATTGTTTTATAAATATTGGACTTTTAGGATTTTAATGTTTTAATGCTGTAAGCCACCCAGAGTTGTTGCAATACGAGATGGGGGCAAATTTAGTAAATAAAAACAAATTTCAAATTGATGGAGAAACCTTTCACAAGCTTAAAAGAAGCAGGTTAATAAACTGAGAAAAGAGAAGTAAACATTCATCTGATGGAGTCATGATTGAATTAAATATTAAATAATAATAGCATGTTAACCTTTCATAATTTAACCCACAACTACAGAGTTGGACTGTCTCGATGCCTCCACCCCATTTTAAATAATTTATTAAGAGGTTCATGAATACAATAATAAGCTTAACTGATTTTTTTCAAGGAAATGCTTGAGCAAAAATAATTCCAGAGAATAGAGAGCAGTGTGGTTATATTTAGATGTCTTCCAGTAATAAGCACATGCATCTACCTGTAAGTGTTGAGCAGTACTGTGTTAAACATATGCATTTGATCAATAATCTCAAGAAACGCATGACAATTGTTCATATAATTTTATAGGATATTTATAGATAACTAACTCCTGAAATCATTACATGCACATTTATATTAATTCCTAATTGGTAGATATAAATTATAAATAAATTTGTTAGACATACTGAACTAAGGAATAAATTAAATTTAATGCATTTAAGACCCAGCTGTCTATTAAAAAGAATGTGTTAGTACAGACAAAGAAGAATATTTTATGATACTGTCTAAAAGAGGACTATTTGATAGCCTAGAAAAAATGTGATTTTTGCTATTCTGATATTTCTATATTAATTTCAGTACTGATGGAGCACTGGGAGTGAGTATCAGCGCACCTGGTGGTGCTATTGCTTCTGTCCCTAACTGGACATTACGTGGTACACAACTCATGAATGGCACCTCCATGTCTTCACCTAACGCTTGTGGTGGCATTGCTTTAATACTCTCAGGTAAAATGGAACGCTGCTCTCCTTTTAAAACAAATTGCATTTTGTTGACTGTGAGAAGTGTATTAATGACATAGTTTTATCTACTTTACTCTTCCTTTGATTACAGGACTCAAAGCTAATGATATACATTATACTGTTCACTCAGTCAAAAGAGCATTAGAAAATACAGCAGTGAAGGTGGAAAATACACATCTGTTTGCTCAAGGTCATGGTATTATTCAGGTAATTATTCTGGTGTTGAAAGAACAAAATCTCATATATATAAGATATTTTTAAAGTATTGATGGAAAAAATAATATTTTAATGGCTATTCCTAATGTTGCATTCAAGGGTTTATTGTTCTCTACTTCTCCTCCCCCCCGCCCCACCCCACCCCATACATAATATTTAGTTCTTTGGGGATGTTTCCTGCTTTGTTTTCACATAGTAATATCCTAATAGCTAGCTTATTAGCACTGGTATTTTTTTTAAAAAAAAATCCTATGTTATTGGAATAGATAATACCGTATAATCTTGGTCCTATTACTTTTTTCTTGTGTTGTTATTCTGTTTAAGAAATGTATTTGAATTGTGAACACTTGAATGACCATTAATTGTACTAACTCAATGGGACCTATTTCTGATTAACGTGATTATGTAATGTAATGATATTTTGTTTTTTGGTGACTGCACTGGCTCTTTCAAATTCTCTTCTCCCTAAAGTTAAAAAAAAAAATCCCCTCTTTTTTTAACTTGCATTCTAGAAACAGATGAAGATCTTCGCTTGCTGAGTTGTTGGAGGATAGGTGGACAGAAACATTAGCTGTATTGTCCTTGATGGTTATGGTTTTATGTTTAGAGTTGAGAATCTTGTTTAATTATTTCATTTTCTAACAATATTGTATCAATCATGTTTTGCTATTATGAGCATGTTGTATGTGGGTAGCACACAAAAATTGGAAAATAGATGAATAAATAATTCAGTTACCCTGCTAACTTGACTACACAGAGGACATCTGTAGTGGAAATTTAGATTTTAATTTCTAAAACTGATCAATACAAATAATGAAAACGATTAAAAAGAGTTAAATGAGTATTTACAAAGAAGTTACTGTGATGAAGATTTTAACTCTGCTGGTTAAGTCCCTTATGGAAATGGTTCCTGCAATGATTTTTAATTTAAGAAATGTAAACATTTACTTTGTAATATCATTATTAGATAGCTTTTTTTCTTCAGAACAAACAATGACATTTTTAAATAACTTCCAAAGGTAATGGCTGAAAGAGAGATTTACTTCAAATTTTTAGTCCTAAACTAAATCTGTTTTTTAGCAGTACATCAGCTAAAGTAGGAGACTTTGAGTTGTTTTTTAAGAATTTATTTGGACCATCTACTCAAGCTGAAGGAAACCTTGTTTCATGGAACTACTGTCAGTCAATATTATTTCTAGGCAGATGTAAACATGAATTTCATACTGAAGGAAATCTTGGTTAATTTTGATTTAAGCTTATTTTTAATTCATTTTTCTCTAGGTTGATAAAGCCTATGACTACCTCATTCAGAATAAATCATTTGTTAGCAACATAGGCTTTACTATTACTGTTGGATACAATCGTGGAATCTACCTCAGAGAGCCTATTCAAGTAGCTGCACCTTCAGACCATGGTGTTGGAATAGAACCTTTCTTTCCTGAGAATACAGGTAGAAATAAGCTATTTGCATTAAATATTTTCAAAGGTAGAGATATTGGGAAGATTTGAGAGTTACTGTTATGAGATGGGCCACTCTATAAATTGTTTAAATTAATAAATAAGATAAAAATACATACAGATAAATGATACTATGAAGTAAGAATAAGCTTAGGTTATTGTAGCAGCCTGTTGGTTGGGTTACCAGTTCTGTCTGGGTCTAGGGGTAGAGCAAATTAGGGGAAATTGGATTCCAACTTCTAGCAAGATAGTACACCGTTGGCTTTGTGGGAATATATGCATTACTTTCCTATTTATGGGGACAGGCTGCAAGTTTGGGCCTTCTGTGATGAAGCACAAATCTGGATTGGTTTTGCAATTCCATGTCACTGATTCAAACATGTCCTTGTCTTTAGCATTGAAAATCAGTTCAACTTTGTTTGCTGTGGCCCAGTTAGACAATAGTTCACCATTGTCATCAGTGGAACAGTATTTCCAATTAACGTGATGGCTACTGAAATCGCCTGCATAGATTGTTGAGTGTAGCTTGATGTTCAGGACATACTGTGGTCATGCTATCAGATATTAGGTAGCCTAGTTTGGAAACTATTTTGTTCATAGAGGCTGACAGCAAGAAAATATTCTCTATATTCCTTCTAACATATGTAGCCATGCCATAGCTGCGGTGGTAGGTAGCTCCCAAAAGATTGTATTTGCCTCTTCTGAGTTGTTATTCTTTGTTTTTTATGTGCATTTCTTGGAGGATGGCCATATCGGTGTTACTGTCCAATAAAAGTTTGGAAACATATTGGCTCTTGGATCTGTGGAGTCCATCGATGTTGATTTGGCAGATTTGAATAATATTCCTGATCTCTCTTGTCATTTGGACCTGAAAAGGTCCTTTTTTGTTTTCATTTTCATTGCCATATATTTTGAGAACCAGGAAAGTCTACAGAATAGTCTGGCTAGTTGCTAGTTTGTTTAGTTAACATTGTCATGCTATCTACGGTACACCACAAGGAGGTGAATTAGCTTCACACCCCAATTTATTGATATATAGGTGTTGATGCTATATGTAAAGGGTTTTATTATTATTACTTTCTTTTCTTATGTTCAGAATTGATGATTCAAACCAGGCCTCCAGCCCACCATACAGCTTTGTGTGGCCTGCCATTTTAAAAAAAGTAAATTTAGAGCCACTGTCACTAGCTGTGGAACTGCTGATTTGCATTTCCATACCCCATAAAGATTTTTAGTTTAGCCTTGTAGCCCTTTCTTTTCAATGAGTTGTGCAATGATGATTTAAACTGATGAATTAAAATTCTAAAGAGATTAAAATTTAAAGTTGCATGTTCTTGTTTCAGAAAATAATGAGAGGATATCGCTGCAGCTTCATTTAGCTCTAACATCAAATGCTTCCTGGGTTCAGTATCCTACTCACTTGGAGCTCATGAATCAGTGTAGACATATTAACGTGCGTGTGGATCCACGTGGCCTACGAGAAGGAGTTCATTATACGGAGGTATTGGTTTTGCTTCTCTTAGGCTTTATCTTTGACAGTTCAACTAAAGAACTTTAGACAGGATTTTGTTTTTATCAGAAGTATCCTGGTCATGCTACCTCTTCTTATAGATCAAAAGATGTACTAGGAATTACTATCTCAGATTCCCACTTGAATCAGTTTGTGATAGCATTGTTGGGGAGAGATGGGGCTGAAAAAAAAAAGTCTTTTTCATTGTTTTACACTGTTGAAGTAGAAGGGGAAAATGGAAAATGAGCATTAAGGAAACAGCCAGCAACTTATTAGCTGGCCATCAGAACCATCATCAACAAATAAAAAAACACACACAATCAGGCATCACATCCACATGGAGCTCCATTTCCATCTGTCCTGTTTGCCATCGTTCGCTCCCTAAAGACTAAAATGAAAGATCTGTAACTTGAGCTGGCCATGAACAAGGAGTGTATATCGGAGGTGGTGACCTTTTGAGAGCTGTATGCAACGAAATTTCATTTTGATGTATGCCAATTGGTGTACTTTCAAAGTGACAATAAAGTTATTATTATTATACGCATAGAATAGCCCAAAGCACACATTCTGGTAGAGAGAAATTCCCTGAGAATAACTTCAATATGAGTTCGAAAGTTTGGAAGACTAAATTTCTGGTCCCAGTAACCAATCCAAGTTGGATCCTATAATATTATCCTGGGACGCATATATTTGTCTTCATTCATGAGAGATATGGGCAGCTAGTGATTCAAACAGTTCAGTTTTGGAAATTTTTCATAACACACGCGTCCACTTACGAACAAGTATGTTTCCTACCACTGCTGTACTCGGGAAGGGGTGATTCCATGAAGCCTACATTACCGACCACCAGTCAACTTGGAGATGGGCAGACATATGACAAAAGCATTCAGCAAACATATGTTAGAGGTCTTAAGCAATGACTGCCATCTAAGACTGGGCAAGTATAAAACAACTGTCAATATCCATAAGGAGCATTGTCTATCATTACTTGAAGAAGAACTAGTCAATCACCTAGCAAATGCTATTAGGACCTTGTGAAAGAAAGACAGGTGAGAAAAAAGAAAAAATTCGAAGAAAAAATTCAAAAGTTAAAGCCACATCCAAAACCTGTGTGAATTTGGTCCATAATTTATTGAACAAACAGTTAAGCCAACAGGAATTATGAATACTTGAACATGATGAGGGGTTTAATAATGCAAGATGCCACACCAAGAGAATTCAGAGCAGCGTTAGAATCCATATTCAGCAGATTCAGCAGAGTAGAGATAGAAGAGCCAGAAAAACATTCTATCAGACAAAAAATATCAGTAATGCTGGTTGCACAAAAACCAAACAATGCACTCAGCCCAGTGGAGCAATGCACCTTGAAAGACCGGCCACTCAATGTTGCTGATGAACCATACAAATTATGAAATGAAGGCATTCACCCTGCTCAATGATTCCTCAGCATATAGACCAGCAAAGACAACAGAGATGAGAATACTTATCCCAGCCAATTCAGATAAAACAACTATATAATGGAAAAAGAATATTGGAAAATAAGAGGAACAGACTCCGCCCCAGCGAGATTTTACGGATTCCCCAAGATACACAAAATAGAAGCCTCCCTCAGATCTATTGTAACACTACAAGATACCCCTACCTACAACCTGGCTAAGTGGCTGGCATAATGCTTAAGTTTCCTGACCCCACCCTCAAGTAGCACAGTCACGTCATCCATACAAAACTACAAGGCTTAAATGTGATTCCTGACAAGATTATGGTCTGCTTTGACGAAGCATTTACATCCATCTCTCCTTACTTAGCATACAAAGTAATAGAAAACTAAAAGAATACAACACAGATCAGAACAACCTAACCAGGACAGAAATCATGAAGCTACTCCAATATTGTCAACATATCTTCTTTCACGTTCAAAAGGGAAATATATGAGCAAATAAAAGGGACATCCATGGGATCCCCAGTGTCAGGAATCATTGCAGAAACTGTCCTATGTGAACCACAACACCGTGCATTTCAAAACTACATACCTAAATTTTGGTGCCGCTGCCTGGATGACACATTTGTCATCATCAAAAGAAATGCACTGAAAGACTTTCATAACCTACTGAACTCCATCTTCCCAGACATACAATTCACAATGGGGGAAGAAACGGCTAGACAATTACCATTTTTAGATGTGTTTGTCAATAGGCAAGAAGATGGAAGCCTAGGAACCATGGTTTATCGCAAGACCATCAACATTCCTTGGATTCTTAGTTTCAACAGTAACCATCTATTGTCACACAAAAAGAGTTGTGTCAGAACACTATGGCAGGGTGAGAACTCACTGTAATACCCAGCAAACTAACCAACTGGAGAGCAGGTACCTACGTGAACAATACAGACAGAATAGGTACAAACATTTATTACAAGATGCCCACTCAACATGCAAGGGAGAGAAAGGAAGAAAGAAGGTACAAGGCTAACTATATGGCACACTCTGCCATACATTTCGGAAGTAGAAGAACGCAACTTCTGAGATCTGCAAGTGGGCATTGCACACTGCCCAGAGACTACCATACAAGGACAAATCATGCATTGCAAAGATGTGCTTGGAGATGGGAGATAATTCCAGTGTAATCTACTGGATCCCCTTCATGGACTCCCCCTGTGACTATTCAGGACATATGGGGAGGAAAGCTAACCACCTGATTGCAAGAACACAAGCGAGTGGTCAGACATTGCAATGAACAAGGCATACATTCAGTTTCGCAGCTACTAAGATTATTGGCCAAACAGTACAAAGATAATCAGGGAAATGATTGAAGCCTGGGAAATGGGCCCCTTGTCAGTCAACAGGAGTGCTAATTTACCACCAGCTTATCAGGTATTTACGAGCCAAGGACTTGGCAGCACAAGGAAACAACTGCCAATAACTTAATAACTGGCCATCAACGTCTCAATCAACAAATAAAAAGCCACACATAACTGGGCACCATATAAATACTATGCATAGAATAGCCCAAAGCACACATTCTGGTAGAGTGAAGTTCCCTGAGGATTGGCTCCATCACAAGTCCAAAAGCTTGGGAGACTAAACCTCTAGTCCCGGTGACCAACCCAGATTTGATCCTGCACTAAGGAAACATTCTAATTAAACTGAATTAATTCCTAGGACAGTGTGCCAGGTAAAGATACTAGCTCACTGTGAAGATTAAAATGAATTGAATTTTTTTTTCTCAGAATATTTAAACTGAATTATAATCCTTAATTTATAAAGTTTAAAGAAATTTACTTTGTAAACCATTAATATTAAACACTTATAAGTGCCTTTTAAAGATTGAAATATTAAACATATGACAATGTGTGTTCCTTTCACTGCTTTAGGTGTGTGGTTACGAAATAACAATGCCCAATGCAGGACCTTTGTTCAGAGTTCCGATAACTGTTGTTATACCAACAAGGTACATGGATTTTTACTCTTGTCAGAAAATTTGTAGCAATATTTATGGGGGGAGATTTACTTTCTATTTCTGTTGTTTGATATACATTCCAAATAATAATAGTAAATAGAAATAAAATCCATTTATATACATTATATGGGTGGCTCAATGGTTAAAATGCTGGGCTTGTTGGCTAGAAAGCCGGCACCCCAGATTCAAGACCCGAATGCCATGTGGCAAGGGGGGACCTCCCATCCTTGTCCCAGCTCCTGCTAGTCTAGCGGTTCAAAATCATGCAAATGCAAGTAGATAAAAACTACTTCTGTGGAGGATAACAGTACTCCTTGATGTCATTTTGGCCACATGATATAAATTTTTGAAATTTTGTTTACCTTTTTTTTTTTTGCTTATTTAAAAATGGTATCAAGAGCCAGAATTCTTTATGATCGATCATCTGTTGTTGTTTTTTTAAACATTTTAAATCAAGGATAGTACTTTAGTACTGTAATTATTTGAAATATTTTTGGACCACCATAAAGGGCAAAACTCTCCCTATGTCTTGCTTAAGTGCTTTTTAGATGTGTTAGACTACAACTTCTATAATAATAGTATCATTCTGAATCCCTGGAAGTACCAGGGAAGGGGTGATTGTTCAGAGATTAGTTTTTTTGTGTGTGTGTTTGCCTTCGAGTCAGTGTTGCCACCACTTGCCTGGACAGGTTCTACAATTTTGTTGGCAAGATTTCAGAAGCGATTTGCCAGGAACTCATAGCTTCCTAGGGCTGGCCCAAGGTCACCCAGCTGGCTTTGTGCCTCAGGTAAGATTAGAACCCACAGTCCCCTAATTTCTAGCCTGGTACCTTTATCACTATACCAAGATGGCTCTTGATGTTCAGAGGTATAACTAAAAACATTAATAACTATTCTCAATTAGTTACTATAGTCAAAGCCAGCTAGTTTTTAAAATATTTTTATATAATTAAGAATGACATGAATTCTTGTTTTTGGACCTTATTAAAATAATATTCCAGTCTGTATTGATAGTTTAAAGTGAGCTTTCTACAATTACATTTTTTTAATCACAGGACAGATGAAGCCTCACACTTTGAACTCAAATTTACTGATGTTCATTTTAAACCTGGACAAATTCAGAGACACTTCATTGAAGTTCCATCTGGAGCCACCTGGGCTGGTAAGGTGAATCTATTGGATTCCTCGTGATATCCATGAAGATTTTAGTATAGGTATTGGAGGACATTTTATTATATATCTAAAATCTATCTGTAGTATTATATGTTCAGATTAAAAGTGTTTTTCATCAGTTTAACGCTTGTTAGGATTTTTTATTGTTTTAATAATAATGAACATATTTATTACTGAGGAGTTAAATGCTGTGAAACAAAATTTATCAATATTTTTGATACATATTTGCCTCATAGAAAGGAGCCAGAAGTAAAGTCTGTATAATAGTATTAAAGTCATGCCTTTTCTTATTTAGAAGTCACAGTCTGTTCATCATCACCTGATGTAACTGCCAAGTTTATTCTCCATGCGATTCAGTTAGTAAAGCAAAAGGCATACCGAAACCATGAGTTCTACAAGTTCTCTTCAATACCAGAAAAAGGATCAGTCACCGAAGCATTTCCAGTATTAGTAAGTCCCTTAAATTAAGAATAGAGTTAATAGCTGTTGTTTATATGCTACATTGATATATGATAAATGTCAATCATAATGTGCTGAGCTTGAGAGTGACTTATCTGAGTTGTATAGAATAGTCTTTCAACCAAGATTCTTATTTGAATATTGTAAATACTGGTAGCCTGCTACACTGTTTTCATTGTAAAAATCCTACATGTCAGCTACAGAATGTGAGGCAATATTAATGTATTTAGTATTAAAAACTAATGCAATGTGCCTTAATAGTGAAACTAATATAAAGACATTTTTTACATTTTTAACAATGATTCTCCTTGTCATAAATTTTTAAAATGTGGGATATTCTAATGAGTTTTTTAATATTTGCCCGCATAATACTACTGTAGGAATTACATTGATGCCCTCATAATACTACTTCTGTAGGAGTTACATTGATTGCCAGTTTGCTTTTGGGGAACGTTCTAGGTGATGTCACCATTAAAGTCCTCTGCGTTCAAGGCCTGGGTATTTCCATGACCATCTTCTCTGAGTTGAATCTGCCCATCCATTTGATCTGGGAGATGGCTTATTGAAGGACCTGCTACTGAAATAATGCCATTTTCATAGGCTTAAACTGTCCTCTTCAGCAACTTGCCTACAGATATCTGATCCATCCTTTCCTTATTACGCTTTCATAGAGCTATAAATACATGGCTTTTCAGTAAAGTATTTGGGAACAAATAAGATGTTATCCAAAACAGTAGCACATCAGACTGATTGGATATAACTATTGTTTGTTTCTGATGTCTATGGAGATTCTCAGTCATCCAGGTCATGGTTGTCCCAAAGGTGCTTTTTCACAAGGCAACTGGACTTTCTTGTTTTTCTTTGAAGATATTTCGCTTCTCATCCAAGAAGATTCTTCAGGTCTGATATTAAATACTTGCTGCTTAGAAACCTGTAATCCAAATCAATGAATATTGACTGTGTATGCTGTGGGATCAGGAGCCATCTTTCCTGCAAACAATGTAATAGAGCAGTTTTCTGAAACCTGGTCCTACTCTAGCTATGCTGGCTAGGAATAATGGAAACTATTTTTTCAGCAACACAGCTGTTGAACATCTATGTTTATAACGTTATGCATTAAATGAATTCATTAAAACTAATGGAACATTCTTGAGCTTAATAAAAAAACAGAGATCATATCTCCAGAGATCATAGCATGGATAGAATAAGTTCTAAGATGTATCAAAAAGAAAGCCATATGAACTTACTAATGGGAGAATATCCTTCAAATCTGGGTGGTATTTTTTTTTCTTCCATTCAATTGTGTCCAATTCTTGGAAACTGCTTTGATCAGCCCCTGCAGTTTTCTTGGCAAGGTTTTTCAGAAATGGTTTGCCATGGCCTTCTTCCTAGAGCTGATAAAAAGTGACTAGCCCGAGGTTACTCAGCTGGCTTTGTGATTAAGGTAGGACTAGAACTCAGTCTCCCAGTTTCTAACCTAATGCCTTAATCACTACACCAAACTGGCTTTCTATTGTTTTATTAGACCCACCCAAAATATCAGACTTTTTGAGTATTCTAAAATTTTTCATCAGGCTACAGAGGGGAGTGGAGAAAAAGTAAGTTCAACAATTAGGCAAACTTGAATGGTTTGGTTTAGTCATCACTAAGAATTGCAAGTTATAGTTCAGCATCCACATTCTCCTTGGTTTATGACTATTTTTGGTAACTGCTGGGATGCAAAATGTTCAGACCTTGGGATGAGGGGATAAGACTTACAAGTGAAGAAGGCTTGAAATACATTTCTTTTTTTCTTTTCCTCCCAACAGGGGGGAAGAACAATTGAATTGTGTATTGCCCGATGGTGGGCAAGCCTCAGTGATGTCAGTATTGATTATTCCATTTCTTTCCATGGCATAGTTTGCACTACATCTCAGTTGAACATTGTAAGTATCACAATTTGCTTTTTTTTTTTTTTGAAATTCTGTCTGTTTTTAAAATGTAGCATTGTTAAAATCATAAGTTAGTAGTATTACCAAATGCCTAGCCAAATTGCATGGAGGCACAATTTCAGCAATCGTATCCAGTGAGATTATTAAATAGAGTTAAATAATATTGCATAGAATTGACCAATTTTATTAGGTTAATCATTTTAGTTTTGAATTTGTAAATGGATTAAGGGGTCGTTGAAGTTTTATGACATTTATTTATGGTGTCAAACCTGCCCCAGCTAGATCCCTAGGAAAGAAAGACCCTTGACTCTATTTGATTGAAGTGATAAGTTCTTTTACTGAGGGTTAGTGATTGCAGCAAAAGCAAGGCTAGATCTGAATATTCCCACACAAACATACAAAGTATTCTCCTTGATGTAGCCCTCCCCCATGACCAGAGTGTCGGTGTCCAACAGCATGCTAGCCTGATATTTTGGGATCCGCTTTGATTGTAGGCATGTCTCAGAGAAGCTTCACATACTTTCCCAGGTGAGGCATCCTTGAGGCGGTGGAATCTGGCCACTTGGCACCTCTGGTTCCTGTCAATGTCCTCCCTCTTCCCTCATAACCCTCTTCACACCACCTGCATAACCTCCCTAACTTCCTCCCCACCACCACCCTCTGTTTATGGCAGGATGCCAGCAAGCTTAGTGATACATAGCGAAGACGGCAGAGCTGATATATATTGTGTTGCCAGCTCTTAAGTGGAAGCACCTTGGAAAAGCATGATTTTTAAATATATATTGTTGGCATAGCATTAATCTGAAATGTGTTTCAAATAAACGTTTTCACTCTGATTATAGCATGCTTCAGAAGGCATAGTGCGTTTTGATGTTCAGGCAACACTGAAATACGAAGATATTTCACCTTCCATAAATCTCAAATGCTGGGTTCAAACACTAAGGTACTATAAGAAATTTAGATTGAAATAAGTGATCATTGTGATTCATAGTGAAATCAGTAACTTGTACTGAAGTTAGTAAGATTAAACAACTTTCCCTCATGCTGAATATAAATATAATAAAGTAAGTTTAATAGTTGAGAAAGATATTCCCTATTTATTTTAAGTACATAATCATTGGAAGTCTGTTGAATATTTAGAGGCCTTTTAATAATGATTTAATTAGAAAACTAAAAATAGAATTACGGCTTGCAGTCAAGACAGCTAATTTATATCTGAGGCAGATTGTTTTGGTCTTAACATTTTTGAAATAATCAAGAGTACCTGGTTCATGTTCAAGGTGAGAAGTTCTGTCCCTGAGACAGTATGAATTTGAAATATTTTGCCCTGCGAGTCTGGGTTTTGCGTTGTCATCTGAACTTCCCAGAGTTGCCTCAAACTGCAAGATGGATGACATATAAATTTAAGCAAATAAAAATAAATAAAAAAGTTAGATTGTTAAATTGTGTTTAGCATAATTAAATGTGTGCATAAATTGAGTTACTAAGCATACCTGTGTATATGTACAAGTTTTAAAAATGTATTGTACAAGAAGCAATGGATGGAAACTAATCAAAGAGAGAACCAATCTAGAACTAAAGAGAAATTTCCTGACAGAACAATTAATCAGTGAAAGGACTTGCCTCAAGAAGTCGTAGGTGCTTCAATACTGAAGGTTTTTAAGAAGAGATTGGACAACCATTTGACTGAAATAGGGTTTCCTCCTTGAGCAGGGGGTGGGACTAGAAGACCTCCACGTTCCCCTTTTCAACTCTGTTATTCTTTAAAACCTTACCTTCATTTTTCTCTTAATGTGTATTGTTGTATTGCTGGATTGCAGACCACTGAGTGCTAAAATAAAGCCTTTAGGATCCCGAGACGTATTGCCAAATAATCGACAATTGTATGAGATGGTTTTGACATACAATTTTCATCAAGTAAGTTTGAGTTATTTAACTGGATCTAACCCTAACTCAATAAAATGATTTCTTTATGGAATGTTGTAAGCCACCCAGAGTCACTTGGCGGCCATATAAATTTGTTTAATAAAAAAAAATTAATAATAAATGATGAGCCACACAGTGTCATTTAGAATCAGATGGCAAGCAAGTTTAATAAATTATCACCATCAGTATCAATAATATTATCATTTAATTTTGTTTTTAAATGCCTTTATCATTTTATTTTTATTCAGCCCAAAAGTGGAGAAATAACTCCAAGTTGTCCCTTGCTTTGTGAACTCTTATATGAATCAGAATTTGACAGTCAGTTATGGATTGTCTTTGACCAGAATAAAAAACTTATGGGATCAGGTGATGCTTATCCTAACCAGGTATGCCAATATGTTTGAAGTCATTTTTTTATGTAATTCCATAGTCTTTTTAGGTTTAGTGTTTGTGCTTGTCATCTTTATGCAAATAAATATAAGAAAAATTAGTTTGTAGTGTAACTTCAGAGATTAATAGTACTGAGGGAACTTCTAGAATTGTAGGACAAGAAGGGCAAGGATCTGCAAAAATCAAATCTCCAGCTGGAACTCCTAATAGATTTTAGTCCATTTTACAGATAGAAAGAACCTTCTGTGTTTATGTAAGGAATGTTCAGGATCCAGTTAAGTCAAATTTAAATAGGTTATATAGCACACAAATTTACCTATTATAAACGATACTCAACAGAAAATATGTGTCATAAAATTTGATACTATAATTCAAATACATAACATTCAAACCAAAACATATATTTACTTCATGCTGGTAAATCTGTAATTTAGTTTGATGAAGGCTTTGAAAAGCCTCCCCTGTAATGTTAGAATAAGATTTTAAAATTTAAGTCTGGAAATACCGCTTACTTTGTGATTGGAAGGGACTTGAGTAACTTTTCTTGTTAGATTTTTTCCAAAGAATTTAATAACAGATCCCTCTCTATCACTCAAACATGTAATAAATGTCCAGGTTTAAATTTTGCATACTTAGCAGTGACATGTTTTGTGAAAATATTCTACTTCAATTAGAAAGGAATACTGTAAGTTGAACTGAAGAAATTTTTACTGTGTGTTAATCTTCTTCATCAAATACGTATGAGTCCAGGTACTAAAGAACTGCTCCTTTCCCTAGTATTCCCTGAAACTGGAGAAAGGAGATTATACCGTGCGGCTACAGATCCGTCATGAGCAGAGCAGTGAGCTGGATCGCATCAAAGACCTTCCATTTATTGTCTCTCACAGACTGTCTAGTGCACTGAGTTTAGATATATATGATACCCACAGTCAGGCTCTCTTAGGGAAGAAGAAAGCAAACAGTATATCTCTGCCACCAAACTACACTCTGCCGTTCTTTGTTACATCTTTGCCAGATGACAAGTAAGTTATGTCCTTTTGGTGGCACATAGCATGCAATACTTTGATTAGTAACTATTCCGAACTTTCAAACTTGGGAATAAAAAAAAAATAGTTCTGCCTATTTATTTCTATCCTACGCTTGCAGGCACTACTATTTATTGAAATCTGGCTACCTTTCCTCTCCAGTGCCCATGTTTCCATATATTTTCTTAATCTGTTTTTTCTTAGTGTATTAAATCTAATTTTTTGCTAATAGTTAGATTTTGTTGCCTTAGGGCAGCGGTTCTCAACCTATGGGTCGTGACCCCATTTGGGGTCAATCGACCATTTCACGGGGGTCGCCAAGCAAGGCTGTCCACCATTTTTTTTGTCCGCCATTTTTTCCCCTTTTCCGGCGGTTGCCTTACCTCCCTTGGGCTGGGCCAGCTGGTGGTCAGCCTGCTCCATCTCTGCCACTTGCCAGCTACGCCTCGGCCAGCGCAGGGGGCAGAACCACGCATGCGTGGCGCTCCCGGGCAGGGAAAGTCCTCGACTTACGACCGGTTGGGTAGTCCTCGACTTACGACCGTTTTAGTCCTCGACTTACGACTGGTTTAGTCCTTGACTTACGACCGGTTTAGTCCTTGACTTACGACCGGTTTAGTCCTCGACTTACAACCGGTTGGGGGTCGCGGCATTAAAAAGGTTGAGAACCACTGCCTTAGGGAATAGCGGCCAAGGCAAGCCTTCCACTGAGGGTCTATGATAATTCTCTGTGGCCAACTCGCCATGACCAACTTCTGCGGCCAACTCGCTATGGGACCAGAATTACACTAATATCAAAGAAATGGTGGAACAGAATCATTAAAGAAAGGTTGCAAAAGGAAGGACAGAATGAAATGTGAATGGCAAAATGAAAATAATTTTTATTTATTTTAAATAATTAAATAGAATTGTTAAATTGTCCCGCAGTGAGGTGGCCATGGAGAGTTGACCATGGCAAGTTGGCCGTGGCGAGTTGACTGTGGCGAGTTGTCCCATTCTGTTCCACTGAGGTTACTGAAATGAGCAGAGCTGGATTTTTTTAAAAAAATCTCTTGGGTGGGATCAAGGATCCAAATAAGTAGCTTCCTGAGGCCTCCTATTCTCATTGTCAGCCTTAACCCCCATCATCCCTATGTATTGGGCTTGACATTGTATTGCTGAAATTAAGTCAATTTGCAGTTGAATTAAACCCTTTTTTCAATGGGGGGGTACAAAAATGGGAATGTGAGCATGAATTTAAAACATGTTTCACTTGTTCGTTTGTTAGAGTACCTAAAGGAACAAGTCCTGGATGCTATCTTGCAGGATCATTGACACTTTCAAAGACCGAACTTGGAAAGAAAGCGGTGAGTAAAATAAAACCCTAAACTCAAATTTGTTTTTGTTTTTTTAAAAAAGGTAATTGAAATGAAAAACCTGTATGAAAATGTTTTTGAATACAATAATCCAGATTTTTGGAAGTTTTTTTCCTGGAGTCTCTTAAAAAGATTCAAATACTAAATGCCAGTTTTCTTCATTGTTTCAATATTACTGCCTCTCAGTTTCTTTTTTGCTATTTTGCAGTAATTTCCAGCACCTTGTTATAGATTGTATGCTACATTGCTTTTAATAATTTCTGTAATATTATTTTATCCTACATAGCTTGGAGTTTCACTTCAGTCTAAAAAGGTATAATTAGTGTTAGTTATTTGGGTTCTGTTAAAATAGTTGCTGTCAAGCATCCATTTGCTGCATTTTAGGCCATCCTTTTGTTGATGATACGCTTTGTAAGGTTTCATTTTGTATAATAAAAATGAATTGCATAAAGCTATAATCATGTTGTACTAAATTAAAGATGCAAGTATTTGTTATCAAGTAAATTTTGTTTACCAATAGTGCATCCTCAAAATAATTCCTTTGTTATTCAGTTACATTTAAAAAAATATGGAATAAGTATATATATTTCATATTAAAATGTCATAGAGTCATGTTAAATATATTTTCCAGACTAGGAATATAGGGGATGTGTCTGATCAGTGAGTTTCTAAAACAATTTGGCTTAATATAATCGATAAGGTTTAGGAATTGATTTTACCAGCCTTAGTAATTCATCCTAAAAACATGTCCACCATTCATACATTGGTTATTTTCCAACTGAAAAATGTTTTTCAGTCTAGGTTTTTTTGGAACAAATACAGGTAAATTTACTAATTGTATCTGAAATTGTAACTTTTGTCAATTAGACCATTGAGCCCATTCAATTTGGCAAAACAAGTGGTAACTATATAGGTATTGGAGAAAGATTTTAGCAGTGGTTAAAATAATGATGGTTTTTCCCTGCTGTTATCCTTAGAACAGTACATTATACCACATTCCTGGTGTTTCTTTTGCTTGCTTATTATAGAAGAGGTTATTATTATTAATTTAGTTAGAGAATTTTTCCATGCCTCTTATTTCATCTTGCTTTAAATATTTCACAAACCATAGACGATTTTGGTGCAGTGCAGCTAAGATGAAAACATGTCAGAGTCTAGCATATTTTTTTAAATATAGAAGACAGTCTCTAGCCTGCTTCTGTTCAAAAATTAATGACTGACCATTTAAAACTTAGTTTCCAGATTATACTCAGTCCAATATATTTATATTTGATTAATATTATTTGTTAAAACCAAGTGATATTTCTATACCTTTTTTACTTTTCATGTGAAAGAAATGAGGTAATTTCACTAATATAACAACAGTGTTGTATACAGTAAAGGTGTGATCTAGAACAGCGGCCCCCAACCTTTTGGGCACCAGGGACCCGTTCTGTGGAGAGAGGTTTTTCCGTGGACCAGAGAGACCATGGTTTTGCATGCTGCCTGCATCCAACGGATGGAGCTTTGCTTATTTGCACAGCCCGGTTTCTGGCATGGTGCAGCCCTGTGCCAGTCCACAGACTGGGGGTTGGGGACCCCTGATCTAGAAAATTAATTGTAGTATTGTACAATAAACAAGTCAGGGTATATATAGGGAAAAAAAACTAAAATTGGCTTGAATGATTGATAGTTCTTCAAAGTCATATTGTAGGATTTTTAATGCTTTCCATGATCCTACCCCAATGTTGTACAACCGCTATAGAGCAGAATATTCAATGGAAATAGAAATGGAAAGTTTAAGAAAGCCATTTCAGTTCATTGAATTTTAAATGGGAATGTGTGCAAGCAGTAAAAGTTAGTTACAAACTCTATTGTTGGGCTTCAAAATATTGGGATTGATTTAAATCAAGAAGATTTAAATCAGATCCTTAAATAGCATAACATTTGTGTTTTATATTTTTTTAAAGCTAAAATATTGGGCTTTAGAAGTATGTTTTAAGGGGAACAAGACATTTAGTGTTCTTCAGTAGTAAATAAAAACTTGATAGGTAGTGTCTCCATTCTGTAGAGTTTTGTGGATATTTTCTTACAGTATGTTGTTCTAACTCCCAGGGGCAGCCTTCAGCAAAGCGACAAGGAAAGGTTAAAAAGGTACTGAATGCCAGTTTTTGAAAGATGTATTTAAGTATTTTTGCCTATCATTTAAAGCAATATACAGTACTTAGTTATTTCTATCTTTGGTTACCTTTTATGCAGCTTAATTATTCATACCTTTGAACAGTAAAATTGGATCAGAATAGCAGATTAGCACGATAGTAATGATATTCTGTGATGGGAGCATTTAATATTATTACATCAGTATCTTACCCTTTAAAATGATTTTTTCTTTTTTTAAAAAACTACACAAACTACACATAGCTCTTACTATTGCCATATGAAAACCACAGATTGTAAGGTTGGACAGGATAAGGAATATTAGTCCAGTACTATAGTAAGAGAATTATCTTTGCTTGCCAGTGGTTTCCTCCTCCAGTGACTAAAAAACTTTGAAATTAGTCAGTAGCTTAAATAATAGAAACATAGCCCCAACTCATCTCATAAATTGTTGAAATCTATAAGTGACTTCTATTGGATAGTATCTGAGAAATGGTGCTGCATTTCTCAGATACTATCTGCATTTCCCCTTCACATTCCCACCCTTTTTGACTTAGGAATGGGGTAGAATGTGTAATCAACAGTATTCAGGCACCATCTTGGCAGAATGTTTTGTCATTTTTTGACATACAATTTTAAGTGTTTATTTCCTATAATAATTGACAATCACCTGCTGAACAAAATTAAAATTGCTGGTCTAAGCCAGATGCAGAGCCAGATGCTGGTCTAAGCCAGATGCTTGTGAAAGAGGCATCTAGAGCCATCATGATAGCTGGTATTTATGAATATTCCTGCCATAAAATGTGCTTTTATATTTATGTAGTTTATTTGGTTTATCTACATGTTTTATGGATGGAATTATTGAGATTGAAGGATTCCAGAAGAAAAGCAATATTTTTTACATGTTTTACTCGAGTGAGACAGCTCCATGCTAAAATAAAGTCAATTGTGGGTTGTTATTTTTTTCCTGTAATTGTTAATAAAACATTATTTGTTTACTTAGCATTTTTTGCTAAAATGTTTGCTTCAATGGCAGGCATGATAAAGGAATTGTGATATAATGACTTGTATTTCAGACATTTTTCTTTGACTGATAAGTAGTTCAGTCCATCAGGGAATGGAAGGAACTAAAACACTGATGGGAAAGAAAGAATTCACAGAGATGCTTTACTGCCCATAAAGCATTTAGTAATGCATCCCTATTCAGCATTTTCATGTTTTAGAAGCTGACCCAATTTTGCTACTAACAGCTTTGATGCACCTTTTATTGAAAGTATTATTAACAATTGTATCTTTGAAAACCACTATTAGACTTTTTTTACATTATGTCAAACTGATTAAGTGGCTTAAAAAGTGAAATGTGGAAGTCTTTTGGGAAATTTTGACTACTATTCCATCTAGGATTGGGTCAGATAGCCAGCTGTACAATATAATGATGAATTGTAATTTATCTTTAATTAGTACTTCATTGGGATATGTCAATTATATAGATCAGGGATCCCCAAACTTCAGCTCATTGACCCTCTGAAGAAGCTTCATATTGTTATCAATTCCCAAACATTTATTAAATAATTTCTCGATAAACACTACTTTAATAGTAGTAAATAATAGCAACAACATCAACCCTTTGAATAGTTCCATGAACCCATGGGTCAATATTGATCACTTTGGAGAATCCTGCTATAGATATAGATTTGATATATATTAGGGAAAAATATGAGATCAGCCTCATGGGAACAACTTGTGTGCATTTTGATTTTCTTCCACAGTTGAGTTCATAAGGTCATTTATGAACAACCTATAAATAAGGGTATTTTTGTATCTTATAGATTTGTTTAAAGCATGTTTACATATTATACATTTTTGTTATTGTAAAGCACATTAAATTCAATTATCAGCTGGGACAAATCAGGATTCAAACAACTGAAGCTATGATATACTATCCTGGCTTTTTCTGAAGACAGTGACATTTTTCTTGTTGAATAAAATGAGATGGGAGGATGCTAAGAGAGTAGATATACAGGCAGATGTCTTAATTATATTTTGACGTATTAAGTGGAGATACTGGCCAAAAGCCGCCACTAACTCTTTCATAACATTGTTAGCTTTTTATTTGGTGTGGGTATTATTTAAGTGGATCACCTCCTCCTTATGTTAGATACCATTGACTGTGTGACATAGTTTTTCAAGATTCCTGGAAATTCCTCCAAATGCTCCTCTTCTGGATTTCATTTTTTAGGTTTTCTCTCAGTTTTTTTCTCAAGTAATGTTACTTTTATTTCAAAAACTTTTTAAAAGTTTGGTCTTTTTTCCTTCTCTCTCTCCCCCTTTCTGTTTTCTCTTTTTAATATCGCCATCTTTTGAAAAAATCTTCCAAGAAGAAGACACAGAAAGATAGAATTGTAGGACAAAAGGCAGCAGGTACCTTTGGCTTAGCCTGCCAAGTGACCTGATTTCCTGCGTTTTTCCAAGCAGGCTTTTCCTGCAGTCCTCCCAATTATTTAATCACAAGAAATTTCCCCTGGGAAAAAACGTTCAGTTCCTGTGTTTTACCCATAACCTTGCATATTAATATTATCTCAGTCTGTTGTTATAGACTTTGTACATTTTCATATGCCACCATGATGTTGACAGATTTACTGCAATATGTGTAATTTTGCAAGAACCTGCGAATTGAAGACTTACTCTAGTCTAGTGGATTCGAGGCTGATTCTCAAGTGAAGATTGAAACAATATTAGGGGGTACATTTTAGTATGAGGGATTGCTGCAAGTGTTAATACACTATGGACTTGTGAAGGTTTTTTTGAACTGACTGGCTTATCTACATTTTGGAGGAGAAATGTAGTTCACAGGCAGTGATTGAGCTTAAACTCTTGTTTAATAGGATATGTGTGCAAATATTTCACTAAGGAAGGGGCAATATGATTTTAGGAGATGCTAGTTCATATCTGACACTTATACTGAAGGCTTTATGAAGGTTTAACTCACAAACTCTTACCTGTTTTCTGGAAAGCATTGATTCAGTAAAATTCAGGATCAGTTTGAGTCTTTGTGAACAGTTTCATATGGAATAGTACATAGGGCAACAGAGAAATATTTGCAGCATTTTTTTAAAGGTTTTGTCAAATATTTAGATTTCTGAGACCTTAAAAATGTGATTCTGTGCTTCTAAAAACCTGATACTAGACAAAAATTTCCATAAGTATTTGTTGGTTGGTTGGTTTTAAATGAGATGTACTTCACGATTATTACAATTTAACTTGCAAAAAATAAATACAGAATTTTTTATACTGTTGCTTATCTTTTTAAAAAAAATAAAAGAATAGCTTAGAATTATGATAACTATTACTTGAATGTTTAAGTATATTTTTACCATATTGTGATTTCATCCTAATCTCTTTTGAATAATGGAATACCTGAATTGAAATTCTGCATTAAACATTGAACAAGAATGCATAAGTTCGTCAGAAATGACAGTAATATTTTATTAGCCATGAGGCCATATCCTAATATAAAATACAAGACAATAAGACTACATGTGTAAGAATGCTAGCAATAATTTTAGATTGTTTAGACATTACAACATGTACTCTTATCATCTGAGGAAAACGTCTCATGGTTAATGATACCAGTTTGTTTAATTTCTTTTTCAATAGTTGTGTCTGCTGCATTTTTCCACAAAGGAATATATAGGTCAGTGGTGGCGAACCTATGGCACAGGTGCCAGAGGTGGCACTCAGAGCCCTTTCTGTGGGCACGCGCGTCGTCGCCCCAGTCCTAGGCCTTCAGCTGGGTTTTATAAAACCTTTTCGCTTTAGGCCTCTGCCGCCGTGTACAAAAAAAAAAGGTTCAAACAATCAGTCAATTTCAACTTCTTGCGGGAAAAAAAAGATCTTGCAAAGTTGGAATTGATTGATTAAACTTTTTAGTCCCACCACAGCCACACCCACCCAATGGGCCACACCCACCCGGCACCCAACGATGTATAAGTGGGTTTTGGGTTGCAGTTTGGGCACTCGATCTCTAAAAGGTTCGCCATCACTGATATAGGTTATGTGAAATTAAACTTACGGAGGCAAATCAGTTGGCTGAGGTGCAGTTCATGTGAAATATTTCTGGAATGATTATTAATCAAAATTTGAAATTTGTGGAAGATAATTCTTTGGACTAAATCTGTTCTAGTCCTCTTGAGACTTCAAAAGATTCTGAATGATTGTATACATTCTCCTTAGTTTTTATAGTGTATGTTTTATGAGAAAGAAAATATTAATACCTACTTTGACCAAGTTGCTATGCTTTTTACTCTAGGATGTAATTTCAGTTCATTATCATTTGATCCCAACCCCAATAAAAAACAAGAATGGAAGCAAGGATAAAGAGAAGGATTCAGAAAAAGATCTAAAGGATGAATTTGCGGAAGCTTTAAGAGATTTAAAGATACAGTGGATGACAAAGTATGTTTAACATTTTGGTTTCCATATCATATCCTTGGAGAACTGATGCATTGATGCAAATTATGTTTCTTTTCTACCATGCCTTCATTATAGACCACTTGAGTCAGCATTTTCATGAATACATTTATTTTTAGGTTTGATACCAGTGAGATATACAGTGAACTGAAAGAGACCTTCCCTAACCATCTCCCCTTATATGTTGCAAGACTTCATCAGCTGGATTCTGAACAGGTGCAGCCCTTTCTCTTTCTTAAAAGAACTTTCATTTTAAATCCACTCAGCCCTCTTCAGGCCTTGAATTGACAAATGGTTCCTAATTCAGTATTCTAAATCAACCGAAGTTATTAATTGAACACCTTGTAAACTGTCCCAGAATTTATCCCATTTATTATATCAGTATTTTGTTGAGATTAGTGATAATTTTTCTTCCCATAGAATCATTTCAGCAGAGCATATTTGATTTTTGTGTGTGTGCTGAATTTCAAGCTTAAAAACAAAACCAGCCACAAACCTACTTATTAAATCTACAATTTATATAACACATAATCATAACTTGAAAAAATCAATATTGGCTTGATTTGATTGTGAATAAATGAGTTAGACATGTTATGCTATTTTCCAGTATGGTATCATTTCATAACTCCAAAAAAACCTTTCATGTTTAAATTATTTTTATTTCAGGTTATTTTATTTTATTTCAGTTCAATTTGGATATTTCTCAAGAATTCAATAATTCATTTTTGTACAGAAATGTATACTTTTTCAATTGTTTCTCCCAATTTCTCTATTTTTTTCTATAAATTCAACCTAGAATTCCATGCATGGAAAAAAAAAAGATAAAATGCAGATTTGAAAACCACCATATTCTGTGTTACTTGACTAATAAGCAAACAGTTGCTACCTGGAAACATGTTCCAGTAATAGAATAGAATTCTCATTTATAGAATTCTTATATTGCTGCTGAAACTATAATAATTATTAGCAAAACATTAATTCTAGTGAATTACAGAGGACCATTCAAGTTATTGTTTTTATGCCTATCTTTCTGCATAGTTGTAAAGCTACATGATGAACAGACAATTACAGTAAATGCACCACTTTATTTTCAAAATATGTTTTCTGCTTTGAATCAAAAGAACTTTATTATTTTCTTTCCTATCAACTGAATATTCATAGTATATTAATTCATACACATTTATTTGCTGCCTATCTTGCCGTGGGGCTACTCTAGGTGGCTTACAACAATAAAAAGGAAAAAAGAAATGAAAAGAGAAGAAGAGAATAATTGAATTTATTTTCTTCCAGGAGCGAATGAAATGTTTAAATGAAATAATTGAAGCTTCTAATACAGTGATCTCTCATATCGACCAAACCGCCCTTGCTATTTATCTTGCTATGAAGACAGATCCCAGGCCTGATGCTGCTACTATAAAAAAGTACCTAGCCAGTAAATACTTTTTTTCCTTGCATTTTATTTCAGTAAAGTTATCTCCTCTTCTAAGCTTAAAAATTAAAATGTTTTATATTCACGAGAAAAGAAAACAGTCATAAACTGAGCACCCTTAATTGCATTTTATAATTTAAAACAGGATTTTTAATGTTGGTGTGATATTGCCAAGGAGGAAATGCTGAGGACTAAAATGTCACAGCAATAGATTTCAAAGAATATCAGCCAGCCAACAATTTCATTCTGCTTTCTCCCTGCATCTGCCCAAATCCTTCCATGTTATTACCCATTTGTATTAGATTATGGCAAGCAAAATAAAAATACACTTTAAAAATATTTAAAGCTAAAACAAATGGTAAACTGTAAAACCATAAAGCAGGTATTTTTAAAAGCAAATTGGAAAACCCTTCCTTCTGAAGATTGAAAATAAGATTGAGAGCTTTTTCTTAATTGTTTTATCTGGTTTTGCCCTCAGAAACCACTGTAGGCTTTTACTCCTTGTTAATATTATTTCTTGTTTCTCTATGTTTCTAGCCACCCAAAATTGAATTTGTGAGATGAGTGGCTATGCAAATCAAATAAGTCAATGAATGAATAAATGTTAGTGCTCTTCCTTTGAAGGTGGTAGAACTATTGTTTGTTTGATGAAGATCCCTAGTTAAAAATATGTATTTTGGAACCTAGTCTCTTTACTCCAGTTTAGAAATGTTACTTTCTCTTAAATGTTATCTACTTAGAAGGGATGCCGGTGTATTTTGTGTGGTGGTGATATTCAGAAGTTAATGAAAAATGCATATATAGGCATGATGAAAGAGACCTGTTCACATAAATAAAATAAAATTGTTCCCACATAGTGAGATGGAAAAGCAGAAATCTACCTTAGTAGATGCTCTTTGCCGGAAAGGATGTGCATTATCAGATCAACTTCTGCAGTTACAGGCCCAGGAAGGGGCTGCATCAAATGACACTGAATGTAAAGATGATAGCCAAGAAGCCATCTTGAATACTCTGACAGAGACTTTCTGGGAAACTTCAAAATGGACTGACCTGTCTGATAGCAAGGTATATTGTGAGGAATAGAACTATTTGTTCCTACAGTTGAAGAAAGGAACCTTTAGGTTATGATACCTATTAGGTGAAGGCAGAGTTTTATATTTAAATTGTGTAAAAATATTTGCACGCAAGAACTGCTGTCAAAATAGTAATTCAGATCTTTTGTAGCATACTGTATTAGCCCAGAACTCTTATAAAGATCATAAATAGGACATAATGGCAGTGGCTTTCCACCATTTTTCTTTGGCATGCTGCCCTTGTACATCTTACATGTTCTCATGAGATGGGCAGTTATATAAATTTGATTAATCAATAAATAACCTTTGGCTGTAGTCTAGTGTAAACTAATTCAGCTGCAGCTAAATCTAAGCATATTTAACTGGAAAGCTATTAGAATGTCGTGCTTTATATGGTGTTGCGCATGCTGATAGAATCATGTAAATGTATGCCTCTTTCTTTCAAATATATTTAAATAAGTCCTAAAATAACCTTAATATAAAGTGTTTAGAATTATACAGCTGGGAATAACTCAAACAACATTAAAGTGTAGTCAACTTAGCTTGAGAGATTCCCCTTTCATTAAATACAATTAGTCCTTGACGTACAACAGTTCATTTAGTGACAGTTCAAAGTTATAATGGTATTGAAAAAAGTGATTTATGACTGTTTTTCATGCTTACAGCCATTGCAGCATCCCCATGGTCACATGATCAAGATTCAGACGCTTGGCAACTGACTCATATTTATGAAAGTTGCAGTGTTCCAGAATCATGTGATCAACTTTTATGACCTTCTGACAAGCAAAGTCAATGGGGAAGCCATATTCACCTAACAACCGTATTATTAACTTAATAACTGCAGTGATTCACTTAACAAATGTGGCAGCAAAGTCGTAAAAAGGGGCAAAACTCACTTAACAAATATCTCACTTAGCAACAGGAATTTTGGGCTCCGTGTGGTCGTAAGTTGAGTACTGCCCGTACCTAGAGATGATTTTTATTCTAGTTCTGACTCGTCTATTGTCAACTCCAAAAGTGAATTAGGATGATTAATCTTTGTAGAACTTCTATTCTGCTTACAAATCTCTGCCTCCATTTTTTAATACTCTTCTGTAGGTTTTGCTCTTTGCTTACAAGCATGCACTGGTAAACAAAATGTACGGCAGAGGTCTCAAATTTGCAAATAAACTTGCGGAGGAGAAACCCACCAAAGACAATTTGAAAAACTGTATACAGGTAAGTTGTTATTGCATATTCATTTCAGTTAAATCAGTATACAAGTTTTAGTAACATTCTAGAATTATAAAATCAAATTAGGACAGATTTTCTAGGCCTAATGGCTAAAAACATGAAAAAAAATGAATTTCGATGTTACATATGCTGACAGCAGAATGCTCTCTGCACAAAAATGGAACTTTAATTCCCACAAGGGATAACTGGCCGCAAAGGCAATAGAGTTAGCAGAGATGGCTAAATTGACTGTTGTAATTAAAGAAAAGAATACAAATAACATTTTTACTTGGAAACTGCTTCTGGACTTTGTGCTTGAGATGGAAAAAAATAAAACATTGATTTTGGGTTTTGCTGATTAGATAGGTTTGTTGTTATAGAAGTGGCTAGTATATATGACTATGTAAAAGTAAAAAAAGTTGAGATTGTATGTTGTCTTATTCTACTGCACTAAACCATGTCAGAAGTCAGTGCTTTTCTTTTTCTTTCTCTTTTTACCCTACACTTTTTCCTCTTTACTTTTTTCCTACTTTCCCATTATTTTCATTTTTCTTTGTATTTTAATTTTGATAAGCTAATAACATTTGTAAACACGACAGATTTTCTAGAAATGTCATTGATTAAATGAAAGTCTCATGTTATATATTGCAATTCTTATTTTAGTCGCTAAATACATTAAATTTCATTTTCATGATTATTTTTTTTGCTCTTAACCTTTTAGCTAATGAGGCTACTTGGATGGACTCACTGTGCGTCTTTTAGTGAAAACTGGCTTCCTGTGATGTTCCCACCCGATTATTGTGTGTTTTAAAATACTGCAGTTGTGAATTCGAGATGTTCTTTATATTGACTGAATATAAAATCTGTGAACTTACTGGATTGCATGTTTTCATCTATTACTGAATGCTTCACTTGTATGTATTAATCAGAGGATAAGGGGCTGCAGTATATTTGTGTAGTTTGGATCCAGACATGAAGAAGTCTATTTAAACTGAATTCTTAGTTCCTTGAGTAGTTCATTTGCCTCAGAAGTGAAAATTTAAACACAAAACCTATTGCATACATCACATTGCTGGCAATGGATGTTTGAGAACAGCCAGCACCAAAGTTTAGAAAATGGAAATGGAATAGCTTCTTGCATGTGTATGTGGATCTTAACTGTAATTTTAATCATAAGGCTATACAAGCTGTTATTTTTACAATGAGCAGGATTTTAACATGTTTAAACATAAATTTTCAATAGTATGAAGGCCTTAAATGAAGCTACAACAAGGGTAGCTAAAAACTTATTTATTAGATTTAATAATAACAGAACTTAATTACCAGTATCATTTGCAAGAGTTTACATTTTATTATTTTTTTTTTAAGAATAACTTCCACACTCACTAACAATGTGTTCTGAATTACTGTTGCAAAGGTGCTCTGGATATCTTCAGTTTGGAGATACTCACAAATATCCACATGATACAGAGTATCGGTAAAAAAATCGATACATGTATAAAGTGTCAGTTAATACTTAATCAGGTATTGTAAAACTTATACATATATGTTAATAATGTTTGAAAAACAAAACTGCAGAATAAATGTGCAGATTTAAATATCAAAGGTTTGAGTACTCATGGTTTAATTTTTAAAAAATAAAACATTGAACAAATTTGAAATCTGTTTTAATTTTTCAGCAATGTGGCTCTGTACAAGGACTATGCACTCACATTTCCTTATATTCTAATCCAGTGGTTCTCAACCTTTTTAATGCCGTGACCCCAACCGGTCGTAAGTCGAGGACTAAACCGGTCGTAAGTCGAGGACTAAACCGGTCGTAAGTCGAGGACTACCCAACCGGTCGTAAGTCGAGGACTTTCCCTGCCCGGGAGCGCCACGCATGCGTGGTTCCGCCCCCTGCGCTGGCCGAGGCGTAGCTGGCAAGCGGCAGAGACAGAGCAGGCCGACCACCAGCTGGCCCAGCCCAAGGGAGGTAAGGCACCTGCTGGAAAAGGGGAAAAAAATGGCGGACAGCCATGCTTGGCGACCCCCATGAAATGGTCGATCGACCCCAAATGGGGTCCCGACCCACAGGTTGAGAACCGCTGTTCTAATCAGAAAAAGTGTAAACTCTTAGCTTTCATGGTGTATTAGTGGCAATTTAACTTAGCAATTTTGATTTATGAGGACATATTGTAGGATAAAAGCGGACCTCCTTTCTGTTTCTAATCTAACAATGTGATTAGATCCATAAAGTTTCAAGTCTTCATCTATAAATATCTATTAAACCAGGGGTCTCCAACTTCTGGACCGTGGACCAGTACTGGTGTGTGTGCTCTGTTAGGAACTGGGCCACACAGCTGAAGGTGAGTGGCAAGAGAGCAAGCAAAACCGAAACACACACACACACACACACGGTTCTTGGAAAAACTGGCTTCCATGAAACCAGCCCCTGATGCCAAAAAGGTTGGGGATTGCTGAATCAAACGTCAATGAAGGAATTCCAGAATGTGCCAGAAGCTGGACATGGGTATATCTAAGGGGAAAGCATGACCAAGAAGTCCAGGCTTCCTAATATCTATTATTTTGTAGAAACAACTTGTCTTTGAAAAAAGTGCTGAATAACTACCTAATTGAAAGGGTTAAGTCGTGAAAGTTAAGAATCAGACTCTTAGTAGTCTCTTAAAGTCTCAGCTTTTGCACTTTAATCTGGATTCTGCTTCCTCATTTTAATTCTCTTTTATGGTCCCTTTGAACAATTTGATACTTGACTCTGGAAATTCTGCTAGCTGGGTAATATTGAATGTGTTGCTTACTGAGTCCAAAAAATCATAATCTGTGCTGAATCTAAATTTATTTGCCCAAAGCAACGTTGCCCCAGGCTGGCATAAGTAGTAAAGTGTATCCAGCAGAGAATCGAGAGCTATGTGATGATAGACAACATCAGTAGCCAAAATGAAATCATAATGGTGGGTTGCTTTAGGAAAGTCTTCAGAAAGATTCTTGCCCCAAATGAGCTTCCTCACTTCAGGCTTGTGAATGTCTAGATTCCGTGTATTCCTAGTAATATTGAACTCCAAGTTTTCAAGTACCTCAGGCAAGTCAGTAGCAGTAACAAAAGCTCCTGAAAGATTAAAAATAACATTGTTCAGTCTGTAATCTGCCTTGATAAAATGTCAGTTGGGGGAAGGAGGATAGGTCCTAATATTAATTCAGTACTTAATGTACTTAAGTTGTCTGCCCACTTGTACCAGCAAATCATAAAATGGACTGGAATTGTATTGTGCTAAACCATGATTTACATAACTGTAATATGTTAAATAAGCTAGAGTTGCTCAGTTTGCACACCATACTGAGCAAAAACCAAGCAAATCATACATGTTTAGAAGATGTGAATCTACTTATAGTTATTCTTTAAACACTAGTTTATAAGTAAAATACAGCAGAATGCCATTTAGGTGAGCCATTCCTAGCTATTATTGCTTTGCTGAGCATAATAAATCAGCATTAATGTGTGTAATTGATACAATACCACGCACAATACATGTACACAGAATGATGAAAAGTTAATGGAGAGGGGAAGCAATATCTGAAAATTGGACTGGTGTCAGAAACGGATCAGATGTTGAATGAACATTTAGGAGAGAGACAGTGGTGAAAGTCTATCCATGTTTGAAGTGCATGACTGAAGAAGAAACAGATCCCTATGTTATCTTACAGTCTAAAAAATCAGTGTACAAGTTACCTAATATACTTGCCACAATAGACACTAGACCTGTCCCAGCTCCAATTTCAAGGACTTTCTTTTCTTTGAAGTTAATTTCCTCTTGATTTGATTCCAGGTACTGACATAAAGCAAGGGCCTAAAAGAGCAAAAATCACTTTTGATCATTCCCAAAGTTATTTGTGTATATATAAATACATTTTTTTTTATTTTGCCTTTGGAAATAGGTCAGAATACAAATGAAGGAGCAAGACAGATTGAGGTTTCAGGCTCATGGTTGCTATGCTTCCTAATCATGCTGACCTTGGAAGAGCCTTAAGATGCCATACGCTGGCATCCTTCTGAGACACAAGCTAAGCCAGACATTTTATTACAGTTTATAGAAGCTTTTTCAACTGGAGTAGGTAGAGAGGGGGATTGAATCTAATCAGATTGCAAAAGAAACATTGAACTGTCAGGAAATGTACAGTTAATGTGTTAGCAGAATTGATCTGGCTATATTTTTTCTTATTTATGCCTCTTTCACTGCTAATTTTAATAACAGATATCTACATTAATGTTTTTAACTGTGTTAGTGCTACACTTGGAGTGAGTCTTCAAATAATTTTGATGGACAATGACAAGACTTCCGGTCTTTTGGACAAGAAGGCTGATTCAGGAAAAGGCAGATGCATTCAGGAAAGAGTGACTAGTTCAAGATAATTCCATGTCAGAAACATGAAGCATGATAGGACTCAATTCCTGTTTTAGTATTCTCAAGTAAACAGTGCCTATTGAATTTTTTTCCCTTCCTTTTTTTGTTTTAAAAATCTCTTGATGAGTAAATCAAGATTAAATAGTTAGTTGGGGGATAAGAGAAGCTGTGTGTTAAATTATTCATATTCACACTCACCCATATATAGGAAATGTCATACTTGCTTATAACATTGGGCATGTCCAAAACACGTTAAACCATCTTTTTTTAACGTTTTATTGATTTTCTAATTTTACATTTAAGTATTTAAAAAGCAACGTGGCGGCTGAGTTAATCGAAAATTCAATGACATACAAACATCTTTAGTGCAAGTCTCAAACTACCACATTAAATATTTCCTCTCTTTTCCCCTTAGTATTTACTGTTTCATGTTTAAACTAATACAATTCTTATATCAATTAAATAAAAATAACATTCTTACATTTATCAATAATTTTAGCTTATACATATCCTGGTTATTTTAACATTCAGTCTTTATAAATGTCCTAATTAGTTTTTCCCAATTTTTAGTTTCCCATTAATATTTAAATTTAATATTTATAATTTCAAGTTTTAAGTGACCAAAATTCCCTTTATCACAATTCATCACAAAGTCTAATATTCAAGATACACATCTTATCTATTTGAATATATTCTATTTCTCACCATCTTACATCATCTAATTAATAATACAGTGTAACATTCTTATTTTCTATTAATTTCCAAATGTCTTAAATTTAGTAACCAAAATTTCCCTGGTTTCAACATCAAATACTTCCTCTCTTTTTCTCTTAGTGTCAGCTAAGTAAAAATGTGTTTATTACATTTGTCAGTATATTTTAGCTTATATCTATCTTAATTACTTTTACATTCAACCTTTATAAACCAATCAATATTCAAATTTAACTTTTGATATTTGTACTTCCAAGTTTTAAATGACCAAAGTTTTCTTTATCTCAGTTCATAACAAAATCTAGTATTCAAAGTACACATCTTGTCTATTTGAGTATATTCTATTTTAATTCTCACTAATGAGTCAAAACCCCAATTTTCTTCAGCCTTATTCTTGCTTGCTTGCTTTGCCAACTCGCCTTCCATATCCGTGCTTTTAAGTCATCAAATAGATCTTCCTCTGTTATTATATATGTTGTTTGAAATAAAAGAGGCCATCCAGTCTCCATTTTTTTGGAAGGGCTAACAAATTGTATTTCTATTTTTCCATCTCAACATAGTTGTCCTGAAATGTTTATCTTCCCTTTGATCTGTTTTTCTTCTTGATCCTCAGGTTTCTTTTGGTTTATTTAGAAAGTCTTTTCCATTTTCAGTGTTGTCAATCTCTTTTCTGGATTTTCCGTTAACTGTGTTTGTTGATCAGTTGAATCTTCTATCATAGTATTTAATTGTTCTTCTATTATATTCTGTGTAGTTGGTTTTTTAGTTGTAATCAAAGTTTGGGTTCGTATATCTAGATTGACATCTTGTTCTTTTCTGCAGCTTCTTATTTCATCAGTAGCTGTAAGAATAGTTTCATAAATTACTTTCAGCATAAAAAGTATCTGTTCATGATCTTCCATGTTCTCTTAGTAGTGTATTAAATTAAAAGCTTTACAATCAGAGAATGAAAATAATTTTGTCACTGAGTATAAAACACAGCTGAGTTTCTCACAGCTGATATCTGCCAAAATCTTATCTATAGTCTGGGCTTCAAGCCAAGTCTCTTTTAGACAATAACAAGTTGTAATATCAGGTTTAGCCACAAGATGTCACCCACACCATTTAAGATTTTTGGTTTTTTTTAAAGTCCAATGTTTTTATAATCCTTTCTCAATTTTACTTCTTTTTTGTAAGTAAGAACCCAAATCTTCAATAAGAATAAGAAATCTTTTAGTCCTCAAATTTTAGAAAGATAAAAATCCAGTTATTTTTTTCAGCATTTTAAACTCCCCTGGATAGTCAGTCACCGCTGTTTTTAGAGGGTGGGATAGAATTTCCCTTCTCTCTCTCCACAGGGGGGAAATACTTTGGGCAGCTTATACAGGTGGAAAAAATAATTAGGATTGAAGAGAGATTCAGATCTCACTCAGTCTCATCCGCGCTACTTTGTAGGTGCCTGATGGTAAATTTGACTTCAGCTATCTGCAGCCTAGTGACAAGCCATATTTCTATGGCCGGTCTTTCGTCTGCCGGTTTGGAGGGCTGCCCCGGAACAAGTGGAAGGGCTACCACCCTCCTGCGATCAAGCAGGGATCCCCTCCATGCTTGTTGCCCCTAAAGGGCGACTTTCGATCCTTTCCAGGGTCCCCCAGGGATGCGAAATCGGATGTGGAGGATGGAGCTCGCCTTCCAAACGGCCAAGGCGGCTGCAGCGGCAAACTGGAAGTCCCAAAACATGTTAAACCATCTTAATGACAACACATAGCCACTCTGGGTCATGTTTAACTACCATAGCAGCATTTCTTTGATTTAGGGATAAAGTATAGTAACTGATATTTCCAGTGAACACTAAGGAAAGCTGGCCCAAAGCTCAGAGCTGAAGAAGCTTCTTGTATGAGCAGCAAAACGTCTTCAAAGAAAAACAAGGAAGTCCAGTTGCCTCTTGAAAAAGCACCTTTGGAATATCCATGACCTGGATGACTGAGAATCTCCATAGACAATTGAAGCTATTCTATAACCAATTTAGTGGCATCTGCTCTTCATGAATTTCATTTAACTGGACACCAATATTTCAATCAGAATAGAACTGGAAGGGACTTTGGACATCATCTAGTCCAACCCTTGCTCAAAGCAGGAGATCCTATATCATTTCAGACAAAGATTGTCCATTCATTTCTTAGAAGCCTCCAGTGATGAAGCATCCACAACTTCTGAATGCAAGCCATTCCACTGACTGATTGTTCTTACTGTCAGGATTTTTTTTCTTAGTTCCAGGTTGCTTCTCTCCTTCATTAGTTTCCATCCATTGTTTCTTGTCTTGCCTTCTTGTGCTTTGTAAAATAAGTTGACTCCCTCTTTTTTGTGGCAGCCACTCAAATACTGGAATACTGCTATTATGTCACTCCAGTCCTTCTTTTCTCTAGACTAGCTATATCCAGTTCCTGCAACTGTTCTTCATATGTTTTTGTCTCCAGGCCTTTAACCATCTTAGTTCTTCTTTGTACTTTTTCCAAAGTCTCAACATCTTTTTTGTAATGTGCAGGGCTTTTTTTCTCGGAGAAAAGGTGGCGGAACTCAAACCTGGCCACGCCCTCATCAAACCCTAGGACCGCCCCTTTAGAGAACAGGAATGCAAGTAAAATTTGGGAGGGGCTATTTCCGGTGTGGGAGGGGCTATTTCCGGTGCGGCCGGCCCGGAAAAAGGTGCCGGAACGCGGTTCCGCCGCGTTCCGG